GGGGGAGGACGATCCCCCTCCTGCCCATTTAGGTCCAGACATCCTCGAAGTAGCGGGCGTCACTGCGAAGCTTCTTGACAAAGTTCACGGCATCCTCCTCGGTCAAGCCCCCGAGGTCGCGGGCGATGTCGACAAACTTGCGGTTGACATCGCGAGCCATGTTCTTGGCATCGCCACACACATAGATGAGGGCATTGCGCTGGATGAGATCCCACACGCGCTCGCGGTGGACCTCCAGCAGATGCTGCACATACTTGCGCTGAGTGCCGGGCACGCGCGAGAAGCAGACATGCAGCTCCAGGAGGCCGGACTCCTCGGCCGCGCGGAACTCCTCCTCATAGAGGAACTCCTCCGGGAAACGGGCGCCAAAGAAGAGAACCGTATCGCCGACCTCGCGATTGAGATTGTCACGCTGGTACAGGCGCTCCTGGACAAACCCACGGAAGGGAGCCACACCGGTGCCAGGGCCAATCATCAGAACCGGACGGGTGGAGAGAGCCGGCAGCTTGAAGGAGGAGCTCCGAATGAAAACCGGCATGGTGGGGAAGGCCACCGAGGCGGGATCGCCAGCGGCCACCGCAGCCTCGAAGGCGGGCTTGATGTTGGCAAACATGCCGGTGGCCACACCGGTCACCTGGCGCCCGGTGTTGGTGGTGAACTCCGTCAGAGAGGCGCAAATGGCCACGGTATCCGGGCTGACCCGGCTCGAGGTGGCGATCGAGTAGTAACGGCACTGCAGACGGGGCAGCAGTTCCAGGATCAGGTCCACCGGCGGCCGAATGTCCGGGTACTGCAGGAGAATGTCGGCCAGCGACCGGTAGTCCACATTCAGATAGCGGTTGAGCTCCTCCTTGCTCTCGGGCGAGAGGAGGGCCTGGAGGTGCCCACGCGAGGGGGACCCCTCGGGAGCCGACTGAACCAGGGCCTGGATGATGTGCGTGCGCGGGGGGGTCACAATGTCCAGGTAGTGGGTGAAGGCCGTGCGGTAGGTAGTCGGGCAGGGGAAGGGAGACTGCTTGGGAGAGGAGGCTGCGGCGCGGGAGGCAGGCAACACCAGTGGGGCCAGGCCAAGTGGAAAGCCGGGAGAAGGGCAACCGATGGTCAGGAGAAAGTGCCAAGAACAGGGAGGAGGAGCTGGCCAGGAGAAGGGGCAAGGGGGGGGGGGGGGAGAGGGGGGGACAAAGGGGCAGGAGCCGGTGCCAGGACGGGGGGCTTTGCCAGGCGTGCCCGTTTCACCACAAGAAAGTAGACAAGGGTCCCGGCAACGAGCAGGAGGATCAGCAGACACAGGCCCACCGAAACCCCGAGAATGGTGGTTCGGGCTGGTGGGTGCGGTGGGGGTGGGGGGGGGGGGGAGGGGGGGAGAAGGGGGGGGGGGGGGGGGGGAGGGGAGGGGGGACGTACGGTCGGCCGGAACAATGCTGATGATGGTATCGAGATTGGCAATGCCCAGAGCAGCAGCCAGACGCTCGACCTCAAGCGCGGAGTTGGGGGCGAAGACACCGATGTGGTCACCGGTGGAGTAGCTGCGGTTGTGGCATGAGAGTACGGTGGGGCCAGGGTGGGCGAGAGAGAGAGAGAGAGAGAGAAAGAAAGAGGAAGGGGGATGAGAATGAGCACATGTCAGCACAAGAAGGGGAAATATATAACCCACATAGTCCAAAGACACCGCCACCGCCACCGCCACCGCCACCGCCACAAACGGAAGCGACCAGACGCCCAACAAAGACCAAGAGAGAAGTGGTGGCCACTCCCCAGGGGGGAGGGGGCCGAGAGAAAGCCATCGTCGAACGTACGGCAGAGCGGAAATCCCCTTGAGGTTGACCTCGATGTGCATGGCACGGCGGTTGTGGCCGGTCGGCATGAGCTCACGGTGCACAACGACATCCGCATAGAAGGGATTCTTGATGTCGTAGGGCGGGCGAGTCTGCTGGGCAGGGGGAACCAGGCGCGGGCCGATCTCGCCGGAGAACAGCCGCGAGAGGGGGACCTCCTCCTCGGTCTTCTCCACCACGCGGAACTCCCGGACCAGGGCACCGGACGCGGCCAGCGCATCCTTGCCGAAGTGCGAGCACACCGCCGGCCACATCTCGTCCTTCCAGGAGATGAAGTCCTCCTCGAGGTTGCCATCATCATCACCCAGACCCAGGGTGAAGACACGGTGGCCACCGAGCTCCTCCAGGCGCCGGTCCCAGAACTGGCCCATGACATTGTACTGCTCGTAGGTCTTGTTGCCGAGGCCGAAGACCACGAAGTTCAGGTTGCTCATGAGCCCAGGCTCCAGGTCGTCCTCGGAGAAGGTGGTGTAAGCGTCCTGGGCGTTGTCGGTCGGCTCGCCCTCGCCATAGGTGGCCACCACAAAGAAGACCAGCATATCCTTGGTGAACTCGGCAAGGTCGGTCTGCAGAGAGGGGGAAGGGGGGGGGGGGGAGGGGGACCGGAGGGATATGAGCAGGTGTCGTCAGAAAGGGACGTGCGAGTGGGAGAGAGCCGGCGAGGTGCGAGTTCCTGACACATCGCGACAATGACACGCACAAGATCATAGGTCTCGATGTCGATGACGGCCGGCTCAAAGCCATACTGCTTGGCCTCGCGCGCGATGCGGTTGGCGTAATCCTCGGCCGTGCCGGTCTGAGAGCCAAAGAAGATGGCGACGTTCTTGTTCTGTGCATAGGCATGCCCGGAAAAGGGAGGGAGGAAGAGAGTTAGGGTGCGACTCGGGAAGAGCGACAGGAGGAGATGGGGGGGGGGGGGGGGGGGGGGGGGGGGGGGGAGAGACATGCGCCACCGGCCGAAGCCCCCGGCCAGCGACCGAGCGAACATACCGACTCGCGCATCTTGGACATCAGGTTCTTGGTGCAGGTGGGAACCGGGGTGGTCACCACCGGGGCGGCCTTGCTGGACGGCGGGGAGCGGTCCTTCTTGCGCTCCATCATGCGCTTCTGGTAGAAATAGCCAAAGACAATGGCCGCCACCAGACACAGGAGGAAGATGTCACTCATGTGGTCCTGGAGAAGAGACGAGGCGCTGGCGGTGCCGACGGGCGCCGACCCGACGGGATGCGAGTCACTCGGGTTCGCGGACATGGCGGCAAAGGAAAGAAGGGGCGGAG